AGGTGGAGAGCAAACGTTGTGAGAATGATGAGGGCAATGAATGTACAAATGTGCTTTACACAATTGATGCATGTATGGATTGTGATAAGCATTGTATGATCCCCTAATAAAACGATTTTTTAAAAAAAGACACTGGGAGCACTTTTTCATACTCTTGTTCCTTGGCTTTACTTCAATTGGAAAGTCTGACATGTCCTGGGAAATTGGTGAAGAATGGTGATTTTATAGTATTGCAACTGTTGAACCATTAATGCGGTGAATTGTTTATATTTTATCATATGCTATTGGTTAAATAACTAAAAAAATAAAATAAAAACCCAACTCACCGCCTTGGCATTGACTCCAACGCATAGTGACCTCGGAGGCGGGGAGAATTGTCATGTGGACTCCAAGACTGAAACACTTTAAAACAGTAGAAAGCTCATCTTTCTACTTTTGGTTAAATAAGGAGCCCTTATTTCTGTAGGAAACCTCTTTCTCATTGAAAATTTGCACAGGGAGGATAAACAGTTCCCCTAAAACACAATGTCAGCTCGGCTCCACCACGCATGTAGGTCATTCCTCTTGATGACTTCAACAACAACAACCAATCTGAAATTGCCAGGCAACCTCCAGAAACCAGAGCAGCCCTTTCCCCCCCAAGCACTGGTCGACACCCGCACAAGGCCGTTGCCCCCTTCGAAGCATTTCCTCCGTCTGGCTCGCCACCTCTTGAGTGACAGAACGCTGGTGCTGTCCTTCCAAATCCCGTCTTTTGCACATCCTCCATCTCTCCTCCACCCGCTGGTGTTTTTCCCAGAGTCGACGGCATCCACGAATGGGATGCGACCCCTGGCTTGATTCATCTCTTCACTGCCCTGGGCGTGTCAGACACCAAACCGGGGCGCCGTCTTTGGACAGGATTGTCCAGAAAGACTCCCCTTAGCTCCCACCCTTGCGCTCCACCCCTGCATGCCCAGCGCCCCACCGAGCGCCGGCGCTCGCGGGCACCGCCCCTTTCCGGAGGCTCGATCCCTATTGGCCCAGAGGCCCGGAGCAGCGTGCGGGTCGCCGCAGCCAGGCGGTCACGTGATTGGCGGGGGCGGGGCCGCGCC